GACCAGATTTTTTTAAAGGTTTACTTTCATTTCTTACCATAGAGATAAGGTGATGTCTCTAAAATTTTCAGGTGTTGGTAGAAGAAAATGAGCTTTTTCAAAAGGTCCAATCCTGTAGATTAACAAATTATAAATGAATCTTCAGTTTTCTTAGCATAAGTATTTCTGATAAAATCTGATCAGTAACAATATCATGATTATGTGTATGTTAGGAAATTCAATGCATCTTTGGCAAATGTAGCAGTGCGGTTTTTTCTACTATCCAGTCTGCAAGATTGATTATGAATTAACCTGGTTGTTATGTGGGAGAATCACCTAATCAGAGCTCCTTTGGTTAGTTTATGGGATCAATTTTGATAGGTAAACTGGAACTTGTGAAAGAGAGTAGCCCCGAGCTACCTTAGCATTATTCTTTGTTAGAACCATTCAAATTAAATGGATTGCTTCTCACCTCTTGATGCTAGCTTACTACTGATTAAAAAAATGGTACGAGTAAGCAAAAGAGTGTGACTCAAAAAATGAAAAAAAATGCATGCAGGCGCCAGCGCGCGCACACACACACATACACAACTCAAAAATCATTCATAAAATGTGAATTTGCCTGCATGGAGGGAAGAAATCAAAGTGAGCTGATCAATCTTCTTGTCAGTTAACATGCTGTATGTGAAGAAAAAGGATTTGCATAGTATTAAGAAAATGTTAATCGCTTTTGCTGCATCCGTGCAGGCTATGCAAAAGGAAAAAATGAAAGGTTAAAGACGGACAAAATCTCGTGTAATGGCCCTTAATATCTCTTGTTAATGTAGCGTCTTCTGGGAGATCTCAGAGTTTTGACACAACAGATGTTTCTGCGAAAACTGATTAAAAGTTGACGCTTTCTAATTTCCTACTTAGTCATATACTGATTGGCATCAGACGAGACGCGACAGGTGATTCGGGGACCCGGGAACATCTTCTATACGTTTAACTATCAACTCGTAAAATACTGTCAATAGAAAGGTCATTTTTATAATGATACAAACATGTATGAAAGATGATTTAGACCAGGAAAAAACTTATGTACACTTAAATATCAACTTGTAAAATACTGTCAATAAAAATGAAATTTTTTGAGATACAAGCATATGTGACAAGATATAAGACTTGATTTTGCTTATCTGTAACATCGTTAAGCGTGTGTGATAGGAGATAATAGACTCTGTTGAATAAATATAAATAAGTATTTGTATAGTATAAATAAGTTCTTGCAGTAGAATTTGAAATCCTTTTTTGTGATACAAGCATACCGTACGACAAATGATAAATAGAGATAAATGAGATATGTCTGTGATATCTAAAACATTGTCAAACAGAAATGACTTTTTTTGAGATACAAAAATATGTGGCAATATTCTACGTGTTAATCATGTGTAATTGTCCACTGAAGTGATGTTAACTTAATTCAATCTTCTTGTAGTAACATATGTTCTTGATAATTGAGACTTAATCATGTGTAACTATCAAGTCATAAAACATAGTCAATACAAATCGCATTATTTTCTAATACAAGCACATGCGACAGTATTGGAGACTTTGTCACATGGGCGTATCACTATCAGATCGAAAAACACTGTCAGCAGTGACAGATATTTGTCACACAAAATAGTTTTGTTTTAAATGTAGCTCACTCTATTATATTTCTGTCTTATCACAAGGTCTTATTCAGGTGTGCTAAAGTTTGGCTTTCACTGATGTCAAATGAAAAAGAGTGCCTTCAGAACAGATGATCTGCAGACTAACTGATCCGCCAACTAAATATGGCCAATCCCACTAAAAAGCAAGCGGCCTTAATCCCCTGATGGTCTGCATATGCATCATTAAATGGATTGAATTTCAGCTCAGAGTTTTAATTGCTAGACCCTTGCAGCGACGGTATTTGTGGAGGAGGGAAGACCATCAGAGGATTAGAGACATCACTTTTAAGTGGATCAGCCATATTTAGCCCACAGATCAACTTGTTCTGAGTGCGCTTTAAGGCTTACATTTAGAACTCTTTCATTAGATATTTTATGGAATGAACCCCGGTTGAGGATCATGGGTACAGGCTCTGTTCTATTCTTGGCCCCCCCCCCCCATAGTCAATACAAACCCACCCCCACCCCCACCCCCCACCCCTCATTTTGGATCCAATTTTACCTGGTACACCTGCACTTCCACAAGGTTGGCAAGTGTTTGGTCCCAACTAGCAGTATATGTCTGTTGTTTTACTGATACGGAGCTATGTTAAGGTAGCTGTTAAGTTTTATCTCCTAGCCAGGCTATAAAGTTGTCAGTCTCTCAAACTAGAGTGATAACAGGAGGTCTAGTCAGTGTGTTAAGGGCCATAGATGGCTAAATCCATGGATAATTTCTGTTTTTATTTTTTTTTAAATTATTTATGTATTTTTTGTTTGTTTTTTTTTTTTTAACTGCTGTCACTTGAAAGCTGACTTTTTTCCTCTTTCCAGTAAGACCCTGTTCT